AACAAGTTCTTAATTAAAAGATCAGCTGGCACGCACATCTGGTGAATCTGATCCATCTCTTTAGGACAAAGCACATTAATAAAGAGTGACGACTCAGTGAAGTAGATTTAAAAGACTCCAGTCGCAAATGTCATGTTTTATTTCCACCTCATGAGTACGTGCTCAGAAAAGATAGAAGCAGGTCTGAAAATATAGAGTTAATGTTAATACATGGAATGCGGTATTAAGTAGCCAAACCTTAAAGTGCAGAGCATAATAAAAACTGCGGTGCATCCCACACACCACTGATCACAGCGATCTAACAAGGAGAGCAAATGAGGAGCATAGGATCCATTGACATATACAGACAATGTGTTATATTGCTGCAGTAACCCTGTAAAAACTGACTGAGATGCAAAGCACCAGCTGTCAGCTCTGGCCTCAGCACAGACGTTCTGCAGCACAATGAAACGAGCCCCTACATTAATCCTGCAACAACACACCAGGGATTAAAGTCATATACTGTACAATTACCATTCACGGTGTCCTGTTTACCTTTTATGCACCACTCGGCCCTTGGCAAACTCTGCACAGTCACAGGAACAAAGGCCGAAACCTTTTAATGCCACCACTTCTATTTATTTACTTTTGCAACTTGCTATGTTTGCTAAAAGAGAAAATGTTAATTTACACATGGTGCCTTTTTTAATGGGCCCTGACAAGCACATCAACAGAAAAGTTGTAATTATGACATAAAGAATAGCAAAGGAAGGAAGGTCAGTCATTTCAGTAGAAATATGTTTATGGTGTGTGGATAAAATGTTTATGTGCCCACTCATCTTATGCATGACAAAGCCACGTTTAGTTAAGTTTGCCACGAGGCCAATACAACAGGGAAATAATCCTGTCAGTGAGCTTTGTGCAGGAAAAACAACAATATTTACTATATCTCCACAGCCAATTTACATAATTATCTTCCACCAACGTTTGCAGCGAGCCAGTGGGAGATTTCCCTCCCGGAACACAAACAAGAAAAGTCCAAACGAGGGGGCAAATATGCCTTCAAACCATTTCCGCCCATGTAACACACTTAATACTCAAATCACAAGTAAGAATTTCACCACTTAGTAAATTAACAACATGAAAGCATAAAAAACACTCTTGCTGGAACAAGCCTGAAGAAAAACGCAGCGGGCAGAAGAAGTTAATTCACAAGTCAGAGCAGCACAGGCACAGCATATGAAGTGAATCCAGCAGCTGAGCAGCACACACACACACACACACACACACACACACCAGACGTATGCAGACATCACACACAGGGAGCTCTGCTGCAGACCCACGCTGCCATGATGCGACTCTGATCAGTTAACTTCTTCATTTCTGCACATTTCTGAAACAACAGGCTGGTGGTCGTTTATTTCCTCTTAAAATCCACGTAAAGGTCATTAAGCAAATTTATCGAACCAGCAGCAGGAGAACAAGGTGAGAAGAGAAGTTGAACAGCCATGTCCAAAAAAAGTGTTCGAACATCCTCCCACCTTACTTGTTAATTAATTAATCACTTTAATGGTGCGTTCATGTGCTCCTGGGAAAGTCCCATTCCCCTAGTTGTGACTGAGAAGATACATACAGTGACAAACTCACCAGGACTAAAGAAAAGTGTCATTTGACTGCACTTGTGTTGTATTTATGTTTTTAAAAGACACATCTACACAATAAAAGGTGTCCAGAGATACAAGTACATAAATAACTAAAAATATACTCATGTAGCTGTGTAGCTAAAAAATATGTGGTTGGATGGATGATTGTAAAATCTATATAAAAGAGGAGCACACAATTTTGTAAAAATAAATTCATTTCACACAAACATGGGCCCAATTTCCAGTGTCATCCATAAAATGACTCTCCTGAACCTGTTTCCTCTGAGGAGAAGCACTTTAAAATTACAACAGTAAAAAATTTAACACATATTTGATGCTTTACGATAAAAGAGCTTGGCTTCTTTTCAAGAGAAAACCTTTTGCACTCCATCTCCGTTACCAAATTAATGACGGTGTCATGCTAATCCTGGCACTTGGCAGGCTGTTACCCACCCATCATCTCAGAACGTGTAACCTCATTAGATAGTGGACTATATACAAGGAGAACAGAGGCTGTATGCTTTGTAATATATAGAGATAAGTGATGCTACTCAGTTTAATTTATTTGACAAGTGAAAAGCCTCTACTTCCTGTCAACGATAATACAATAAAGTCATATCTGAGTCTGTCCACCACTCATTTTTTCTAACTTCCGAGTCCGATCATTCTTAAAAACCATATTCCATATTCATCGTGCACACATCCAACCTCCAGATTACTATTACGTCAGATTAGCTCCTGATGGGCTTGAAGAATGATTTCACTTGTGTTCATTGTGTGTTATAGGCTATATGTATATATATATATATATATATATAATATAATTATTTATTTAACACATCTTAAGAATTGCCACAATCTACAGATCCAAAGTCACGACTTTTCATATTAAAATCTCTGTAATTCAGTTCGGTATAAAGCATTGCAGCAACAAAGTAAACACTGTGCTTTTAATTTGGAGACAAACTCCTAAAGAGGAAGATGTTGCTGCCATGAGGATCAGCACCTGTGACACCTGTTCAAGGTTCAGTGTGTAGTATTTAGTGATATCTAGAGGTGAAGTAGCATGTTGCAGCTGAATACCCCTCACCTCACCCTCCCCCTTTAAACATGTAAGAGAATCTGAGGAAGCTTCAGTCGTCATAAAAACTCAAAAGATGTTTAGTTTGTCCAGTTTGGACGACTGTAAAAAACACGGCTGCCTCCACAGAGAGGACCCCCCTCCATGTAAATATAAAGTATTTAAATATAAAGATCCACTCCAGGGTAAAGAAAACAATTTCTACCTATAGATCAATTTCACCTAAATCTTACACACATCAGACAGTTTCATGTTTGTTTCACAACCATATTTTATTTCAACAGAACAACAACCAGTCGACAGTGAAAACCAGGAAAACAAACAGAGAAGGATGTTCCTCTCTCGTGTTAGACTGAGATCAGCAGCTTTATGTTTGTGTTTAAGTGTCTATGACCTGTGAACAGCACTGAAAACTGTCAAAGTTGTACCTGTCACTGCAGGACGAGCACTATCTCTGATGTTTGACATGTCCTCTCTGACCCACAGTGACACATTTGAGATGACACAAGCCTGGAGGTTGTTGGCCAAACATGCAAAACATGAAGGAAACAACCTGTTAAAGAAAGACAGTGAGAGGTGACAGAGCTCCAACAAAAGATTAGCAGATATTCTCTCCCTGCAGAGATGTAATTATCACTGCAGCGAGACACACAAGAATGAATAAGAGAAATCAAAGCAGGTAACTGTAAAACCAAATGAAGTATAAGTAGTTTCTAAATCCAGAATAATATATATTTAGCCTTCACAACTATTATCATTTAAAGTGCTTCAGATCTGAATTTAAAAAAGCTTTATTTGCTTTTTTTTCCATTTGCATAATAGGTCACTAAAATAAAGAGTCGTGCTCCCTCATCTTTTTGCTTCAAACAATATTGCACAGTATTGTGGAGACAGTGGTAACATCTGTAAGCAGCTGATACTGGAGATGATGTAGTGATAAATACATGTATATGAACAGCTTCACTTTAATATGAGCTTCATCTGCAAACACTTTAAACATTAGGGTGGAAATTCAGCCATGATGAAAATGTGAACTGATGCAGTTGGACAATAAATATGCAGAACCACAAGTGGAGTATAAGAGAAGAGTTAGTCCACAAATGGATAGTGGCAAAACTGCAGTTTCAAGCTTTTACTTTGAAATGTAACCATCATCAGGAGCAGGTACAGACACAACGTGCTGCTGCTGCTGATATCAAACCAGACATATCATCAGTTTACAAAGTTGATATTCAGTCTTGTTAGAAACAGGAGCTTACATCAGTTAAAGGGCAGAAAAAAAATTATGTTTATTTGTTTGTCTTTCTTTTTCGCAAGATTTCAGAAAAACTGCTTAACCGACTGTCTGTAAACTTGGTTAAAGGGTGAGTACGGGCCAAGGAAAAAAAACACTGACTTTAGGATCCGATCCTAATCAAGAGGACAGATCCAGAATTATATATTTTCACTTACTTTAACATTTTCCACTTTTTGTAAACTTCTCAAGAAATAATCCAGAATCAGGTACATTTACAGGACTGATATTTATGAGTATGCACAACTTGGTGCAGCTTGATTGGATTTAAAGGGAATGTTGGGTTTTGGCAAAAGTGAGAAATCACTTCATATAGATTCTATATTTAGCCTCATACCTAATCAATTGAATGTAAACTGTTAGAGAAGATTTAGTTTCAAGCTCATTCTCCGCTAAAACTATTTTACATTTACTTGTCCAACCAAACAAAATACAGAAACATCCTCCGCTCCCGCTCATCTGGACCTGAATCCAAAAAGAGGTTTAGGGCGAAATTAGTGAAACGAGTCGAGTGTTCATATCAATGAACAGATGCAGTTTGGTGTGTGATGGATCTGACCTCAATACATGTGTGAAGATAAAGTGGCCTTGGCGGTACAGTAACACTTATATTTGCTCAATTCAAGTAGTGTACCACTTCAGTGCTAGAAAACATGGAAAATGTGTCAGAAGTGTTCGAAACGCACCTCTGCCTCTCCCATTCAGAGATAACAGAGAACAACACGGCCCCTCTGGTTACATGTGTTTTTCCTGATGTGTAATGCAGCTGAACCATCAGTAAGTATTCCTGCAAAATGAAGTGAATCAGAGACCTGTGTTAGAATTGATCCGAGTTGGTTCGGAGAGGTTTGAGCTCAGTTGCGGTTGGTTTGTTACAGCGTCAGCACGACTGATTGTCTCGACTGCTAAACTGAACAGGGACATTGATTTGGAGATGGGG